TACACGTTTCGCACTAATTACTCTATCTTACCGTTCCGTTTAACGTGTAATCCTTTACCACACACGACCTATGCATGTTACGGTTTGTATGAAAAAGCAATCAAAGCTAAACCTTCTTTTTAGTGTTGGCTCGAGCTTCTTTTCGCAACTTGCTCAAAGCGTCAGGGAGACCTTGTGAAACGTACCTAATCCCGTGCCCTCTGCAATAGTATTCGTGATTTCAAGCATTGCACCATTGGCTGGGTACATTCTCAAACGTTTCGCCGGCTTCGTCAGTGAGAGACGCCATCGTAAGCACAAAGTTACAACTTATTAAAGTGTAAAGTGAAGTGACCAATTTTATGTTCTACCTTCTAGTGCCGCATCTCTTCCTCTCAACCCAACTTCATATGACCTTTCCACTTATTCATACAATTATGTACTCTCATTTCCTCCAATGTCGTTTAAGGGTGTGTCGCTAAAAGTGGGTTTAGTGAAGCGTAATATTCTCCACTACCGGTATCAGATGCCGTCTACAGGGCTCCTGACCTACATTCTGACAACCCTTTTTTTCCTACCAAATTGTCAATTGGCCGCAGCTAAACACAACAATCACTGTTGGGCTGTGTGAAATCTGGCGACCTGAGAGCCTTCAATTCCCGTCCTCGATGTGTTCCACGTCAGTGCCCTGGGCATCATCTGCTCTGAATCCTCGAATATGGCATAATCGAGGTCGGGAATTGAAGGCTCTTAGGCCGCCAGATTTCAGACAGCCCAACAGTGATTTTTGTGTTTAGCTGCAGCCAATTGACAAACTGGTAGGAAAAAAATGGTTGTCAGAATGTAGGTCAGGAGCCCTGTAGACGGCATCTGCTACCGGTAGTGGAGAATATTACGCTTCACTAAACCCACTTTTAGCGACACACTCTTAGGCGAAATGAGAGTTCAGAATTGTGTGAATCAGTGCAAGGGTCATATGAAGTGGGATTGAGAGAGCGAGATGCCGTATTAGAAGATAGAACCAAAAATAGGGGCGAGGAGTGATTCCAAAAACGGTTGAACAGAAAATACTATTGCAAAGGACACGGGACTAGATACGTTCCACAAGGTCTCCATGATGCTTTGAGCAAGTTGCGATTTCGAAACAACACTGTAAAGCTTAAGCAGACGGCGACCAAACAGAAGGCTACACCATCCTAGTCCTCATATACTTCTAAACCTTCTTTTCTTTTCCATCAGGTATAACTTTTCCAATATCCTGCGTCTAGTTAATGAACACAATCTAAATGCTCAGCCGCCAGCGCGCATCTTCTCCTACCTCATCAAAGACGAAGCCGAACTCTTCCCGGGCCAACTGGCCTGCAATCAGGGAGGACACATGAGCAAGCTTGTGAGTGGGGAGAACATCCTCTCCCAACTGTCCGACTACTTCCACTACCTGTCGCGGGCGGCTTCTGTTCGAGAAAGCGAAGGTCTGTGGACCTCACCCTACCTGGATGCCTTTGGACTCGGCCTCGTAGTGACGCACGCGATCCCTGCCATCTCGAGGCGTGAGCAGAAGACCATTGGTGTGGCGGGCGTCGACTTGACGATGGAGGAGATTGAGACTGTACTCACACGCTATCAATGGGGCGGTGTTACGTCGTTTTTGATCGACCGCGAAGGCCAGACCATCTACCATCCGCTGCTCAAGGCCAGAACCACGCTGCTGGAGGACCCGATCTTTGTGCCCATCCAGCAGCTGGAGCAGGACAAGGATGGCAACCCACGCGAATTCTCAGAGCTGTTGGTTCAGATGTCTAAAGGCGAGACAGGCCAGATGCATATTCGCGAAGGTCGCCGCGGAACACCCAAGGGCGACTATCAGGCGGGGGTGCGCTTTGACATAATGCCACTGTCCTACTACTTTGGGCCTCTTCACGACTCGAATTATACTATCGTCTTCGTGCTCAGTGAGGCCGACAAGTAGGTGACCAGTTCCTTTATATGCATTCGCATTGTTCTGTGTTCCCATGGCTATGCAGAGGTTATTCTAATTGAGGGTGTGTCAGAGACGGAAAGCAAAGAATCCAGCATCTCATCCCTCTAATGAATTAGTACTTCACCCTCATACACTCTTTTCCCGGTCTCGTTTACTTATCGTACATTCAAATTGACAAAATCAGGTATCATCATAATTTTATGCACCTTCGCCTTCTGCTGGTGTGCAAGGCCATCACAACCTTGTCGGTAGTAGTTTCGAGATTAACTGGCCTTGATGCAACAAAAGTTAGGATAGATCCCATATAGTCAGGATTAGTCAAGTGTCTACTAATTAGGCATTCAGGAGTATAAAACGAAAAATGAACCAGCGTTATTTTGCACTCACTTAAAGCCTAAATCTTACGGCTTTTAAGGATTTCGTTCGGACGTGTACTAAAACAGGGTGTACCAGAGCCCTATACAGGTTGACTTCGATGGTGTTCTGGCAATTGACATAAATGTTAAAGAACCGATACCCATTGCTTACATTTTCATTCCTCATCATCATATGTGTGTGCGTCCTGGATGGGAGTCTCTGGTTGAAAGTTGTTGAGGCATTTAGACTAGCCATATCGGTTCTAAACCTTGCTTGAGGCTTTGATAAGTGACCGTTATTTAACCTACCAAAAGGAGTCTTTTAGGTTATATCTGCGTTTTTTATCGCTAGTTTCGACATCTTCTATCCATAAAAAGTAGACAAGATGTGAACTATAGAGTCAGGGCAATATATTAATATATAAATATATATTATATAAGATTATATATAATTTTAGAGAGAAACTTTCTCAGACTTATTTGGATCACCAGTAATTTCTTTGTCGGTCGTCCCTAAGCGACATACTTTAGACGTCCACTTTTCACTATCAACTAGCGAATGATTAAATGAGTCAAAAATGTGAAAGTTCTAAAGTGAAAAGGTCCGAGACAAACATTCTGGTAAGATGCACAAGTCGACGATTCGTATATTGTAC